AGAGTGTGACAAAAAAAAATGTATCAACTATTAAAATGGTTACGGGGAAAAAATTTCCTTTAATTGATTAATCATTGCAGGTCTTAACACATTTATTTAGATCTAATCAACCCTCAATGGACCACTGTGGGTGGGACTGTAATGTCCTGTCTTCCTTTGGATTTTCTGTTGAAGCTGTTTCAGATCTGGCAGCTCCGCACTGCTGATGTGAACAAAACCATCTTCTTCTATTAATTTGCAGCAAACTGGAAATGTAAAATGCCCAGATTTGTGTTCCAGAACTATAAAAAAAAAAAGAGCTTTCAGAAAGCTGCCTTGGAAAGGCTTTCAGACAGATGATAACAGATGAGCTCTGTTGCAATTATTTCCAAGTAGCCCTTTATCAGTGACATCTCAGTGGACTTTGTAGAATCAGAAAAAGGAAAATAATAATCCTAATAAAAAATGTAATCAATTTAGTGATATAATATACAGTAACAATGGAAAAAGCAGATAATTGGATTTGAAATTATAAAATATTCCAATCAATTGTTTCTCTGCAGGAGGATTTCAGATGTGTGTCTGGGCCTATACTGTAATAGTGTATAGGAGAGTGTATGAGTTGCCTTTATTTTGTATAGCCATGCCGTGTGTAGATGTGTGTGTTTGCGGTTTCTGCACGGGTGTGCTCCGATGTGTGTGTGCATGTGTGTAGGTGCCGGTATGCGTCATAGTTAGCTCTGTGGGGCCAGAGTCTGACTCATTCACTGTTACCGGGTGAACAGACGCTGTGTTGGAGTTACCTGAAATCTATGTGTGCTTACGTGTTTGTGTGCACCTGGTATTACTTGTACTGTGGGGACTGAAAGCTGTTTACACACTCACATTGTGGGGACAATGTAAATCACTGAATTTTAGGGTAAAGCCTTGGGTTAGGATTAGGCAAGTAGAGGTAATGGCAAATGTTAGGGTGAGTCTCCAGGAAGTGAATGTAAGTCAAGGTAAAGTTCTAATGAGAGATGAAAGCAAACTGAGATGGTGAGAAAGAGAAAACAGAGATCTGAACAGCAGACACAAAAAAAATTTGTATTAAAAAATAAACATGTTTGAGAGGAATGGGTGACTGAAAAGGGGAAAAAAAGCATCTGTGAAATGGCATTAAACATTTTTGGATCTTGTATAATCCTGCATATGTGCTAGAAAGCTCACAGAGTGAACTGGATTTAAAACTGTTATTTTACTGTATATATTTAGGAAAATGTTTGATTAAATTCACCAACATGAAAAAACAATATGTGAATTTCTTATTCATATTTTGTGCTTCTGATATCTTGTTCCAGGACAGTGACATAACTATCCAACAAATCCTGCAAACTGTTGTTAAACATTTTAATCAAACTATTACCTATTAAATCTGGCTATTCACGCTAACAAACTAATAGCATGCATCGAAACATACTGAAAGAGGCAGAGGCATAAATAGAACAGGAGGAGGAAGTGTGAAAGAGTGGCTGATGACTCATATTTTGGCACTTGTGTGTTTCAGTAAATGTGATTTGCTACTTGTTACCAGTCTGACTGCACAGAGAAGGGAAGGCAAGAAAGTGTGGAGGAGAGGAAATAAAAACAGTCTGAGGCAAAGCAACCATCTGTCATGTTGAAGTACTTGGTAGCTATAAAAAATGTACATTTTTCTTCATTTGTTATTTTATGTTCATGCTGTCCAAGTACAGGCTTTATGTATAGATGACAGTGTCTCAGTAAGGTATTGTCACTGTGCTTCCTGTCTATGTAACGTGAACTGGAATTTATACTGTATTTTGAGGCATCAGTGCTACAAGGCCACTACGGTTCAAGTGGTATCTTCTTCACCTGAAAAAAGTGAAATGAATGATTTGTTACAATCATGATTAGAGTTTTTACTTAGAGATAAAATATACAGGAAAACAATTAGTTCACTTCACTTTCATTGTTCAAGAAGAAACATAAGCATGTGGCAAGCCACCACACAAGCACAATTTACAGAAATTAGATTATACAACCATGCCAGTGCTGCTGCAAGGCCAAACCAATATACACAGCACTGATTTAAGCTAAACTGTCAACAAGCTAACATGCTCACAATGATAGTGCTAACAAACTCAAATTTAACAGGCATTATATTTGCCACGGTCACCCGTGCCTGCCTCCTGACTCCGCCCGTAAATGCAAAGCACAGTTGAGACTCGAGTTGGCCTTACACTAGAAGACAATGATAAGACTCAAAAAACTCTTAAGACTAAGGTCTGACACCCTGTCATATCTAAAGACAATGCATCATGAATCACAAAGTTTTTAGTCATAACTGATTTTGCAAAGACCGGGGATCGTGCAGGGTCACTATCTGCAAGACTGCAATTAGATTTCTCTTGAGACTACTTCCCATGTGCTTCTGTGTTTGGCTACAGCTACACTTGTGTGCACAGTGTTTTGCTTGAAAAATAAAAAAAGACACCACAGAATGTGAACAGAACCCTAGTTGACTAAAAGGGGACAGCGAGATCTGTCCACCTTTTCTCTTTCTCCACTCTGTGATGGTACAAATCCAGAATTCCACCAGTTTCTCTTCCTTTGTCAAGGTCCAGCAGAACCTTGGCTTCCAAGACACGGAGTCACTGGCGTCTCTGTCATACTTACCCGTAGATGTATTACTTATTTACCGCTGGTTCTGTGCCTGCTATGCTGCTTCCTGTTTGGTACAGGAGAGAGCTCATCTATTGGTTGTATACGATGTTCATGTCACTATCTGCAGGCACCAAGAGTAAAGACTTACAATAATTTTAAATGTTTGATTTTATTGGAACGTCAAGATGAGAAAAAGACTGTCTTAAAACTGCTCAGACCACCACCTTACACCAAGCGCAACACAACTGTAGCAAGACTCTCATGATTTTATGCAGGCGTTGGAAATTTGTCTGTGACTATAAATTGCTTGAAAAGTCATTGGGTGGAAGGCTGGCAAAGGTCTTACAGTTCATCTTGAGGGGAACATGAATGTGTGTACCACATCGATGGCAATCCATTTAGTTGTTGATCCATTTCATTTTGGAGCTTTTTGGAGTAGCTTATAAAAATTAACTCTATTTATTGCCTGTGTAAACATCTGACCTCTGACCCATCTCTTCTCAGATTCAGTACGGGACTCCAGTGGGCGAGTGCTGGTCCATTGTCAAGCAGGCATCTCCCGCTCTGCCACCATATGCCTGGCCTACCTGATGAAGAGAAAACGGGTGCGTCTGGACGAAGCCTTCGAGTTTGTGCGCCGACGCCGCAGCATCATCTCTCCGAACTTCAGTTTCATGGGCCAGCTGCTGCAGTTTGAGTCGCAGCTTCTTGCCACTTCGTGTGCCGCCGAAGCAGCTGCCACGGTAAGCCCACTGCTCGGACCCAAGTCGTCGACAGCCACCTCATCAACGACAACCACACCCACCTCTCCATTTATTTTCAACTTCCCAGTCTCTGTGGTGAACCCTGCCTACCTGCACCACAGTCCAATCACAACCTCGCCTGGCTGCTGATGGATAGCCAAGCACAGCCTTCCCCTGCCAAACTAGCCAAGCACAGAGTGGGCTGGCAGTGGCCAGAAGAGCTGTACATGTGTTCCAAAATGCAGAGGTGAGAAGCGTCACGGTGCCTGATTCAAAATTCAGAGACTGACAAAAACTTCTTGAAGTTCAGAAACCAGCCAGCGCTCCTTCCATTTTAATATGAGATTTATTCAGGCTGACCAAAAATGAACTGGCTTTCAGAACTTGCTTCAGTAAACAGTTTCGGACTGAGTCTTGGACTAATGTTTACTGAAGATACACCCTCTTCCTTGGAAAAAAAAAAACATGCACAGACACACACACTGGCACACAAACACTGACACAGAGAGGCATGAGCAGCAGCGAATGCACTATTTCTTTCTCTCTCTCTCTCTGCCTCAGACACACACACACACACACACACACACACACACACACACACATTCATGACTACCAACTGAATAAGCGCAGTATGAAGACAGGCTCTGTTGCTATGGATACACCAGGTCTTTAGGAGAGGAGATGGACACAGGAAGGAAGGAGGAATTTTAAGCACCCGCTCTTTCCCCTTTGGATGTCCCTCCTGTTGCCAGACAAAAGGGATGGATGGAAAAAAGAGGGGAGGAGATGGTGATAGAAAGCAGGAGCCTCTTCAGTGACAGGTGCTCTGCCGGCAATCTGACCGGAGCTTCCTGTCTTTCATACGTCCTCTTACTACCCCGTCTCTTCCCCCACACCTTCCTCTCCTCTTATCTCCTTTTCATCCTTTTATATTCCTACCCTCCTTCCCAGCTCACCTATTCCTCCTTCTCTCATCTCTGTCTCTCATCTTCAAATCTGTCCACCCCCTCTCCTCTGCTCCCCAGTGCTTCACTGGAGAGGCTAAATACATAAAACAAGATGCTAAAAAAGGCCAGGGTCCTTGTAAATTGACCCACCCCCACCCCATCCCCACAGAACCCTGATACACACTGTAGGAACACCTTCTGCTACTTCACAAAATGGATGAAAAGGCTGAAAGAAAGAGGTGGCAGAAAATGTGTTTGCTTCTGTGACATTTTCATTCTATTTTACCTGATTTTTGTTTTTACATCACACAGCAAAATTTTTGGACCACGGCGGCCCTGGATGACAGCCACTTAAAGGATCTCGCTGGTAGCTTTGTATGTTTTAACTCATTCTAAGTCATGTATTCTTTATTGCTGACCATTTTCCAAAACATACATAACTTCTGAGACACTGTTTCAGTTCTTTTCTGCAGGTTTATTTTCACAGGACACTCAAATGAACTGAAAACACTGGCTCCTATTGGATGCTTTGGAAAATATATTTTATTATTATTTAGTTAATGGGCTAAAATGTGCACAGCCAGTGAATGGTCCTTTAAGATGTTTGTGCCTTGTTCATAAAGGTATTCCATGGGTTTGCCAGTGGAATGACACTTTTTTTTTTTTCCCCCAGACTGCTGAATGATAGTTAAAATATTCTCAGCAGTGCTGTGCAGATGCTTATTCCACAGTGTCAAAAAAGCAAAAGCTTCTCCCTTCATCTTTTCTCATATATAATAAATATACTGTGCATGAGTAGGTGTAAGGACTTGGACTCATGATAAATGTGTCCTTTCAAACTGCAATTTTTCAGCTAGACAACACTTTAAAGATAAAAATTTTAACAGAATTTTGAAGAGATTTTTCTTGGTACAAAGGCATGAGTGGACATTTATAGTATAGTATAGTATATAAGTAAAACAATGACAATTAGGGGAAATAAATTGCATTGGTGAATGACTCAGGTTATTTTAAACATGCTGCAAAAATAATCATTTTGAATTCCTACAGTAATAATTTAAAATGAATACTGTCACATTTTTATTTTAAATTCTATTGCAATAAGTCCTCTCATAGATTTATATACCATACTAGACTTATGGACATTCAAATGTGGGTCTTTTTACACTTTACCTATCAAACCTTAGGAACTCTGTGTTGTTCCTAATGAGACAAATTGGATAAATGATTTTAAACTTTGCTCTTTGATGCCATATCAAGAAGTTATTTTAAACCTTTAGTTAAAGTTTAGTCAGTGTGTATCTGTACACACAACACCACAATCACAGTCCTTGCTCTTTTCATACCTCTTTAAAGTCATTCCATACCAAACTTACAATCCATTCAAAAACAAAAACAACTGATTTTTATTTCTTTTTTTTTTTTAAGGACGTTACACTCTAACACCATGTCAGATCTTCATAATGCCACAATTTGAGTTGGTGTTTTTATTGCTTCTGCTTTGGAACAGGCTACTCTTGACACTCTGTGCTAGACAGCCAAAGGCACAAAGTCCAGCTGTGGTTGTTTTTGAACCCAAGTCCTGATGTATGCACAAAACACACCCCCACACACAAACATATATATTATGGAAGGTGAAGGCCAACGTGGTCCATGTGGTGGTAGGAGTAGTCAGAGCTCTGACTCCTAAACTTGATGAATGGCTCCGACAGATCCCAGGAACTACATCAGAGCTCTCTGTGCAGAATAGTGCAGTGCTAAGATACTGCACAGAACCCTCAAACTCCCAGGCCTCTGGTAGAGGCTCAGAGGTTGATGAAGACGCACACACCACCCTGTAGGAGTGAGAAGGAATAATGGCACCTATCTCTGTAGCACTTGAAGTGATGCAATACTGTATTTATAAGTTATGATTGATTTGCACATCATGGTGATGCTACACTGACTAGACTTCGCAGACATTTTGGCGAGAGAGAGAGAGAGAGAGAGAGAGAAATGGTCACCAATCAGTGAAAAACGCAATACTTTGTACACATCTGTATGGTCTGTCAGGCTATATGCCTTTCTGTGTTAGTCCATCTGTTTCCATCTGGTCAGTGCTGTTTATCATGGCAATATTAATCCTCCATTTGGACATTTATATATAAAAAAAAAACAACTTTTCCCTCATTTTTATTGTGGAATGAATGACTTGTGCATTTATTTATTACTGAAGCTCCACTGTTCAATAAACAGTGTTCTTAATTAAAGTCTATGTGCTTTTTTATTATGCTGGTGTGTGTGTGAAACTGAATAGATAGTATACAGTATGAACACATGCTTGAAAAACACTATCATATGAAATTTAAGAAGGTCAGTAATCTATTTATGCAATCACTTTGTCACATTGTCAATGACATTCTGGGGACTGTAGGAATTTAGGAAACCACACACAGAAGTAGGAGTGCAGATGATACTGGTACAGAAAATGTGGGTTCAAGGCAAAAATAATGCTTGAACTCTTCACTGATTAAAAACAGATTTCAGATGAAAAGGTTCAAGAAAAATATTAGCTAAATAGTATGTATTGGTTAAATGTCTGAAAGTCTCCTCACATATGATGAATACAGCTGTGATTATTGCATTTCAGAGGTTGCTTGATTGGGTTTAGAACAAATAACTCTCTACCTGCAAGAAAACCAAAATCTTCATGTGCTTCAACTGGTGTTGGTTTTGTCTGTAGCCATATGCAGGCATCTTTCTACTAATTGTGCTTTAAATTATACCAAGCAACAATTTTTTGGACAGCACATTTTTTTTTTTTTGTCAGTGAAACCAAGAAGAACTCCTTTCTGTTACATGACCCTGTTTCTCACAGAAAGCAGGTGCAAGCTTGCAGCCCCATCCAGTGGCAAGAACATGAAATTGACCACATGCAGCCTATTTTATCTGACAAAAAAATTAAATTAAAAATGGGGCAGGGGGGTCTCAATAAGGCACTAACACAGCAGCAGGTAGGGTGTGGGTCTCAGTTAACCCTCTACATATTGATGATATGTTCTGAGTACAACATCCCCTGGTCCAGGGAGCCTGTAGGGGACCCATTATCACCTTTTTTTATTCATGTCTCTTAGGAACAAAGGCACATCAAAACCCACATTAAACTTACGGTAAATCATTTCTAATCTGCTCCCCACTTTCCATAGCATTTTCTCATCCCACTTGTTGAATGCAATAAAAGGGTTTGGGTTTTATATATCGCCAAACTGCAGTAACTGTGCTCCAACCCCACCATTAATTAATTCAACTTGCCTGTGTGTTAGCTTTGTTTTATTAGTTTTATTCACTCTTACTGTTCGTGTCCATTCATTAAATTAAAACACCAAATCCATTGTGTTTGCTTATTTTCATTTTTATGCTTATTATGCTTGTTGAAGTAGGAAATCAAAATAAACAAAACAAAAGTCTTATTTTAGGTAATTTCAGGTTTATTGTTTCCTCTAATCTCTGCCATATGCATGTGCACACTGAACTACTGCGTTCACCCTCCTCACAAGAAGCTGCAGAATCAATGACAATTATAATAACAATAATAAATATTGTTATTTTAATCTTTTTTCATTTAAATTTCCTTTTTTCTTTCTTTATAATGTCTGTATAAAATATATATACTAGTTAGTTGCTTAATAAAAGTGGGAAAACATTTTATGAAAAATGTTTATACCAATATTTAAAGTGAAATTTAAGCTGAATTAAAAAAAAAATCATAGTACCTCATAATACATTCATGTTTTTTCACCTGAAAGAAATATACTACAGGCTACTTTTCAAAAGGTCATGAATCCTGCTTTCGACTAATGAGTGAAACAGCGCCCTCTAGAGTCAACGCCTGGTAAAGGTTTGTCAGTCTAAAACCAGGTGAACCCAGGTGAAGGTAATATGCGTTGATTAGAAAATGAGAAGGAACATTTCACTGTGGTCGCTGCAACAACTGCCAGTGTAAATAGAAAGTAAAGCCAGTTTCACTTTGGCCTCGGTTCAAAACTGTAGTCAGTTGTTTAGCAACACCATTTAAGTGAAAAAGAAAGAAGAAGAAGAAAGAAAAGTTTGAGAGTTTTCTAGTGTTCCTTGTGATAACAGCTATGTAGTTAGGGCTACTAGCTATAGCGAGCAGGTAGGAAGTCTGAAATGGACATTAACCACTTTGCCTTCATGAAAAAGGGAGAACTGACTTCAGCATCAAATTAGGTGAGTCTCTCTGTCTCTTATTTTCCGTGTTGTTTCTTCAGGTGTCACAGAAGTGAATTTGTCTGTACTGTGCCTTGTTTGCCTAGAGTCTTAAGCTGTGGTGATGTTGTGTATATAAACAAGAATAGAGCCCCAGGAGTTGCATTTACTGGTTGTTCAGTCTGTGTGATTGGTGCATGATTGTAGCTTGTGCAGGGTGTTTGGTAGTTGACCACAAACCACATAACTGGTGTCATTTATTTGGTACATGCATTGATTTTTATTTTATGTCCTCTGTCTAGCTAAACTTGCAGCAATTAAAACTGATCTATAACCTTTATCAGATTGTACTATTTGTGGTAGCCTGTTGTACATACAGCACTGTGTAAAAGTTTTAGGAAATCATTAGATTTGTTGTTGTTGTTTTTTTTTAGCAATGTTATGACAATATTTATCAGAATACAACTAGAACATATAGGAAATATGTACACAGTATATATAATTAAAAAAAAAGAACATCAGAATAAAATCAAACTAATTAGATGCTCAAGATGTGCTCTGCAAGCTGTTATGAATACATATGAAGAATATGGAGAGGTTAAGGACAAAAATAGGAGTAAAAACCATAAAAACTGTCAACATCTGATGAGAAGTTTCTCAGAGAGAGCAAGGACCTGGCTCAGCATCGGGCAGCTTCATCTGGATGCCAAGTTTATCCTTCTACAATCCGAAGAAGCTTGATCAGGAACGGCCTTTGTGAAAAGATACTGGCAAGAAAGGCTGAGATATGCAAAAGCTTGCAAAGATTAGAGTGAATATCAGTGGAAAGGAGTTTTATAAAGTGATGAATCGAAGAAATGTTTGGGTCCAACCATCAACAATATGTGAGAAGAAGAGTTGGGGAGAGAGATAGAAGACTGAGTGTCTGCAGCCTTCAGTGAAACATGGTGGAGGGTTTGTCATGGTTTTAAGACTTCAAGAAAAGAATTCAAACTGTCATGTGCAAAGGGAGGTCACACTAGATACTGACTTTGTACTGTAGAAGCCATTTTGTTCTGAAAATGGTTTTTGATATTGTGTACATATTTCCTGAATTTTCTGGTTATAGCTTAATAATGAGACTTGGAATTAAATATAAATTATCATAAACCTTGCTAAAATGGCAAAACTAATTGTGGTTTGTTTATATCGAACTATTTAAAGATGTTGTGATCAATCCATGTAACCCAACGGTGATGGATGAAGTGGGACAGGGGACTTCAGGTTGAGTGGACACTTTGAGTCAAAAAACTACTCGCAGCAATAAGCTACAAAGTTAAAATACTAAAACAAAGGTAATGTCTCTAGGGCTGCAATTAACAACTCTTAATAATCAATTAATCTCAGTTATTTCTGCAATTAATCAGATGTATACAACAACATAAAGAAATCAATTTTCCACATTATGGAAGCTAAAATGCATTTAGTGCTTTTGCAGTGCGTCTGTCCAATGTATTAAGTAAAAGGATTTGTGCAAGAATAACGCTTTATATAAAGTGCACAATAGGTTCTTGCAGTGTTAACAAAAACACAAATGTTGAGTTAAAATCATTTAGGTTGTATGTTCATAAAACATACCATGTTATTGTAAAGGGCAAGTACAAACATGACTGCTGATGCTTAAAAGTCCGTTTATTCTTAGGCTAGGTACTCGGACTGTCCCCATTAACCTGTGTGGCATCAGTGCTCCTGAACACACCTTTTATAACTTAGCTTTGTTCATTGTGTTTAATATAATGCTTGGCTGTTTACATCTATTTTATGTGTACAGGAATGCAACACAATCAAATGCATTTAATACCCATTATTAGCAGCCACTTATGTTCTTAAATATATACTGTAATTTAGAATAATATACATAACCACGTTACTTGAAATCAGGTACTTCATTTTAGTTTGCACAGTGTCTGAAGTTAACAATTCAACTCCGAACGTCTTCTGTACTTCTGTGTCTCTTCCTCTTTAGGTGCTAATGCATTGTCGTCATGCTCCAGTGCCATTACACACATGTTTTGTATAGTTGGCACGGGACAGTTTTTCCCTTTCGGATTGTTGAAGTGCTGTTAAACTTAGACATGTCGTCCACTTTTCTCTGCTGTAACCATGCTCACTACTCTCCACTGCTTTGTTTTTTATTTATTTATTTTTTTACATTTTGATGTGCCTCATTGACATACCCTCTGACAGTTACATGACTAGACCCAACTAATTGATTATTAAATTCATTGCTAAGTGGTTTTATCAATTAGCCTATTTGTTGCAGCCCTAAATGTCTCAGCTTATTTTATTTTTTTTATCACTAAGTTTCTAAAATTGCAGTGGTAGCACTGTTGAATTTATTTTCATATATTCTTAATCAGTAGTGAAGTGTTTAATTCACTAAAATGTATGCTTAATCATTTTTATAGTTTCTTTTCGCCACCTGTGTATATGTTGAATCAGTTATGCAATGATCAGCAAGTGTCCCACTCAACCAGAAATTCCATCTCTGTAAAATGGCAAATGGATCTTATGTTAAACTGGTTATCAAATAATTGGAATGATTTGGTTTCATTGTAGGCATGCTTCATGCGGCTGAATAGTTCTTTGAATTCTACTTGACATCAGAGCAGTGCCTATGGAAATGAGACAAATATTAAGACAGACAACAAGAACGGTTTTGCATATTTCCATCTCCATCTGGCAGCCTTGGTCCTAAACCAGCACAGTGAAATTGTGTCCCCTGATTTGTGATTATGTGCCAATCAGATGTTGTGTTCAAAGAAGTTAAAATTCAAAATGTATTATTACTGGCAGTAATTATGCATTTTCAAACATGGATATTTTTTTATTTTTTTATTTTGTGATGCGCTGTGTGAACATAAGTGGAAATTTCAAGTTAATTGGTTTCTTTTTAAAACTGGCATCACTGGACTTTATTGCAGCCTAATTACACCTTTGTGATAGAAATCTTTGTTGGGAGAAGGTCACTTGCCAATAACTTGTCGAGCTGTGCTTTCTCAATTTTTTTCTTGATCCATATCACTGCTATAATGAGCTCTTTTGGGGTTAATTAACTGTCCCCTTTAGAAGAACAGCTGGCTCCAGTGGTTTGAATATTGGTGACCCAGCAGTGGTTAGATTGATTACCAAAAGGGTTTATTGGCTCTCCTTATCTGCTGAGATATTGGTGGTTCTTTTTCTCATTATCCTGATTTACCATCCAGATGAGTATTTCAGTTGAATTGTAGTGTTTGTCTGTTCTTGGATTAGCTGAGCTCCAAATGAGCACCCTCATTGCCATTTATCTTCTTGCAAAAACAAGAAATCAGTTGAATGGTACAGGAAACGGGATGTATTGGAGTTTTAAGACCATTAACTACCTCCCTAATTACATACAAAACAAATGCCTTTAGTTTTGTTGTTGACTTTAAACCTCTGGTCTGTTAGATCTCTGGATTACTTTCCACACTAAAACTTTGAGTTTAAAGATGTTGATCAATTCACTCGGCCTGATGCCACATAAAGGTAAATTGAAGTGCACATGGCATGCTCATTTTGCTTGTTTCCAGCCATTTAATGTTTAATCTTGGGTACTTCTAGATTAGCTTGGCACCCCTCATAACTCCAAATAGTTTGCAATTGTTTCAGAATCAGAAAGCCAAACAGGTTCTTCCTTAAAACAAGAGGACAGTTCATGCTGCTGGTGTTGTTGCAAGTGGACGGCACAACAAACCGCAACGGCATTAATTAATATGAATTTCTCCTCCATAGATACATAAACAATGGTATATGTACTGATGAAAAGAGATGTGTAACACTCTAAACAAAGCAGGTAATTGAGAAACCCCATATTTTAACTGGCATAATGCAGACATAGTAACTTCTCCAGCTTTAGGTCACGTCTAAGATGAGAATTCACCATTGTAACATTGTAGATGAGTCAAAACAAGGAAAAGCATGCCATGGGCCCTTTAATCAAAGCAGGCTTTACATTGAGGTTTGTTGGCAGTTTAACTGTACTGTACCTAGCTAAAACTTTAATACAGCCTCTGGGTTAAAGTGTATTTTGTTGAAATTGTTCTAGGTCTGCATCTAATTCACATCATTACAGATTAATATGTTGATTATGGTCTTAATCTATAGGTCCATAAAATATTAAAATGCTAGTGTCAATTATAGCCCAAGATACAGTATGTCATCAAATTGCTTGTTTTGTATGACAATACAAAACGTATTTAAATGTATAATGACCTGTCTGCTTCTGTGGATGTAAATTAACACAAATAGGAATACAGAAGTAATGTGTATATAAAAGCATCATTTTAGTAACACATGGTGCCAATAAACTGAGCCAGGCTTTCAGCTAAAGAAAAACAGACACTCAGTTAACTTGTTTTTATTAAGGATTTCTTTCTGTTGCCATGTTAGCTGGTCAGCAGCTCTGTACAACTGCACAACAGGAGGTTAAACATCCGATAAGGAAACGTGTCAGTGACGTTGACGGCTTTTGGTAGAAGGCAGGTCAGTAGGTGAGACATGGACTGCAACGCTCTCCAAACTGTTCACAACAAAATGGCTGACTGGCTTGTGAGACGGGTAGACAGGCCAGCTAAAACGTAATTCAGATAGTTATCACATAAAAAAGCCTTTGTTCCAAAACTTTTTAACTCTGTCATCCATAAAAAAACCTGTTAAAGGCCCATCTGGACTTGGTTTATTTAGTCTCGTTTAAAACAAAGCTCACAACTTCCTGCTAATAAACCCTACAGTGCTGTTGAGGTCAACAATATAAACTCCACCTGCTCAGTTTCTGAAGTTAACAGTGATGCTGCTGTGTGATCTGAAACCTCTGTTCTAGTGTGGAGACTGATCAGGGATGGTGCAAAATGTGGTTTAAAAAATATACAACTTAAAAATATGATCTTGCTGGTCTTTAAAGAACTGTAAATGCATTTAGTCACTTTTATTGGAGCCAAATTATTTGCAATCTGGGCATATTGTAAAATGGCAGATGTCTTAAAAAAACATATTTAAACAGTCATATACTATTAAATATGTCCCTGGGCTACAATTCTTTAATTTCCCCTTTGAAAACTTGCCATTACAATTTAATTTCAGGCTTATTTCTTTCCCATTTCTACCCAGGTTCTATCCAGTTGTTGTTCCATTTACTTATTCAATAGTTTTTTCAGGATTATTTCACTTTTCTCTACAATTATTACATTTATAATTTGTTGATGTGCAGCAACAACTAATTCATCATTCCTTGCTACTGGGATGAAATACTGTTAGGCTATCAAATGCATGGGTGCATAACGGAGGGGAGATGCTGTTGTGAAAGGGTCAGAGTTAAAAACTGACACAGGTTCTGTTTGTTAGTCTTAGGAGTGCTTATTTTGCACTGACAGCTAACTTTAATTGAAAACAAGTACTTCAGGCTCAGTTCACACTAACAAGAATGTCATGTTTGGACTTGGCTCAGATCAACATCATCGTCCCCTTCCCTTTAAAGTGCAAATTGGCTAAAATCTTGAGTTGGACTGGCAGACACTGTAATGCTAACAAAGTCAGGATGCAATAAACTCAAATGTCAGAGCAGCTTAGTCGGTCTGGATTCTGCAATTTTTGTGTTCAGATTAAAACAGAGCATCCCTAACTAACATGAACATTTTCTGACAACCTGATATAAACTAGCTTTTTCTCTTTTACTGCTGCCAGATTTGGGTATACACCAAAGTTCCCCGGTAATTTCAAGGCAATATTTTGCTTTCAAAACACTTAAGGCCATCTTCCTTTCCATTTCACATAGCTGATGTGATCTGACATGATGTGCATGAAAGAAGCTAAATGCACATGTGGTCCCATGTGGTGTACAGTGTCATTCACTTAAAAGTAACCATAAAAATAAACTATTAAGAGTTCAAGCTTACAATATATAGTGTGAGGAGTTATTCTTGCTGTTATTTGGTCTGTCATACATGGTAGCGTGTCAGATAGCTACTGTATGATAGCTTGTCTTGATGTACAATATAGCTTTGAACCAAAATCTCAGTCAACCTGCAGATTTCTGGTTATTTAAGTATCTTTTTGCAGCC